ACCGAAACTGAGATCTAAATTATGAGAAGCTACCAGCCCCTGGAGAGGCCACATTCCAGGCCTACAGAATAGCAGGTGAAAAATCCTTAAAAAGCAATGCACTAGTTCAACCATTGTGGAAGACAGCGTGGTGATTTCTCAAGGATCCAGAAATAGAAATGCCATTTGACCCAGGAATCCCATTACTGGGTATATACCCAAAGAACTATAAATCGTTCTACTATAAAGACACATGCACATATATGTTAATTGCAGCCCTGTGTACAATAACAAAGATCTGGAACCAACCAAATGCCCATCAATGATAGACTGGACAAAGAAATGTGGTACATATACACCATGGAATACTATGCAGCCATAAAACGATGAGTTCCTGTTCTTTGTAGGGACTTGGATGAATCGGGAAACAAGCATTCTCAGCAAACTGAAACAAGAACAAAAAGCCAAACACCGCATGTTCTCACTCACAGGTGTGTGTTGAACAATGAGAACATGTGGACTTAGGGAGAGGAGCATCACACACTGGGGGTAGTTGGGGGAGATAGGGGAGAGACAGTAGGGGGTGGGGAGGGTGGAGAGAGATAACACGGGGGGAAATGCCAGATATAGTATTCACCTCAAATAAAATAATTAATTAATTAATTAATTTTAAAAAGTAATGCATTTAACGTGTTCAAAACTCAGAATGAAAGCTAGTGGGGTTGAAGCTTAGTGAATAAGGAGAAGAGTGAGAAGTCATGAAGTGGAAGAATAAAGCGAAGGTCAGATCACTGAGGGCTTCATAAACCAGGTTTAAAACAAAAAAAAAGAAGAGGAAAATATTTGAAATAGGAGATAAGGGTTAAGAAAAGAAAAAAAAAGTGAATGGAAAAAGGGAAGGAGAACAGAGTAGAGAATATAAGAAAGGAAGACAAGATAGCAATTTTTTTGAAGAGTAGAATAAAACACATTGCTATCAGAAATCATAACATCTTAATAAGGAGATGCACTCTTAATGCAACACAATGGAAAAGGATTATCACCAGAATTCTGAGGGTGAACTAAGGCAGACTGGACAATGTATACTCCCCTTGACTGGGACACTCACAGGAGAGTCCCCTCGCCACAGCGTGGACTTTGCTAGATGTTTGGGAAGGAGGAGAAAGTATGAAATTGGCCAAACATTGTGGACTTCCTCCCTCATTACATCAATCATAGGCAAGTTACTAGAACCATGAGATTTTGTTTAATTGAGTTGTTTAATGGTATGTTTTGTTTCTACAAAACGTTGTAAACAAAAACTGGGTTAAGGCCAAACTGATTGCAGGCTCCAAAGAAACAGATGCAGGTGTCATTAAAATGGTGAAGCTGGAATACACAAAGCAAAAGTCAAAATAAATACTGTTGCGGTTTAGTAGAGAAAGAAGGAACTTTCAGGTAAAGGGATAAAAGAAATTACTTTCAGGGAAAGTGGATATCAATTTACACCCAGACCAGTACAAGCTGTATTTGAGACATCTCCCATTGCGTGCTCAACTTGCCACACTTGGGGGAATTGCAGAATGCTGATCATTTCCAACCCAAGCCTAGCTGTGTGCTGGCCTCTTTCAACTACTCTGAAACATATGAATCCTTCTTATAAAAGGAAGATGTCTATTCTTTTATTTTTCTTAACACCTTTATATTTAAAATAACACTCCTGGAAATGATAGTCATAATTCACAGCACATACCTACAAATCTTAAATATAATAAAATATACTCATCTAATCAAGCAAGAGTTACTAAGCTAGAATGCATTTTCATAGTGGACATATGATAATTAGTGTCCAGTAATGTACGATATCAACTAGAAGAGATTACTTTCATAAAGTTTCATGGGAGTTAAAAAACACCCAATGTAATAGAAGAGATTTAGTTGACAGCTTGCTGATTCTCTGTATTTAGTGTACATTACAAATTTTTTGTTATCTTTATTACAGTACTATGTCCTTCTCCTCTCTAGTTAGGCATCTGGGAGCCTTGAGAAAGGAATACTTAATTAAGAATCAAATACCTGAATTCTAGCCAGAAGTCTGGTACCTTTTGAAAGCGTGAAAGGCAAAAACAATTTGTATGATCACTAGCACCAAGTTCTGAATGCTGAGCAAGGACATGGACTATAGAAGCTGTGCAACAGCTATTACTTGTATAAATAAATGAATTAATAAATTAAGTCACCGAACCTTCTGTACTTCATTTTTTTCATTGAAACATGAGGGTGATATATACATATCTTGTCTACCTTGGTATATCATTAGAAATTCCAGATAAATTATAGCTCAGATGGAAGAAAATTATTTTAAGAAGTATAAAATTTCAATTCAATTGTCATGATCCATAGAACATTGCTCTATTTCTCAATGGCATTCTATAAGCCTTGACTGATTTTTCAGGACAGTTGAAGGAAAAGAAAGTAGGGAAAATGTTTTGAAAGCACTAACTTATAAGCCATTGTTGTTTACTATTCATCATCTATGTTACTGGAACAGAGCAAAGATATGGATAATTTCAATGGTACATAATTCAAAAGTCATGTGTTCTTGGCATTAGAGTATGTTTTTGTACTTTTATTTGAATGGAGAGTTGTCTGGTATTCTGGTAATTGAAGTAAAACAAAATAATAAAGTTATAGTGACAATATGAGGTTCCGGATTTCCTCGTCTTACGTCCATGAAACTTAATCCATACAGACTCACATTGCTTTGGAATTATGCCACCTTTTTTTCTCCCCTGAATGAAGGAACCATTTATTTAACAAAACTTAGTGGAATACCTACTTCGTGACTGACACAGGAATAGAAAATGAGTATCTTCAACACAGTTGAAAGGGAGAAACAGACTTATACAATATCCACACTACAATGTGATGAGAGCTAGAGTCCCTTGCTACTTCCCCTCCTACCTAGAGATAACTTTGCCTCCAAAGACACAGGTTCTTGAAAGCTATCAGAGAGTAAAGAATAGCCTGTTCTTTTTCACTTCAACTATTTAGCAACTGGAGAGTTTCAACTGCTTTTTTTAAGAATATTCAGGTAATAAAAAAATAAAAACAAAAAGAACACAATGACAGAAGTCTTCCAATTGTCTTCAGCTTTGAGGAATATAGTTAGATGAAACAATTCATCATCAGAATAATCATTAAACTAATTGTATTTTAGACTCTATAATGCAGTTGCTGACCTTTTCATTGCTTGGTCTTGACAATTTTCTGGCCCAGTAGTGGGGTTAGCTGGCTAAGATCCTGGAGCCTGCAAAAGAAAATAGTCTTTCAAGAGACTGAGGGTTTATGGTATATTTAATTTGACAATATTCAAAGTAGACCAAAATCATTTTTTATTTGACGGAGACTCGCTCTGTTACCCAGGCTGGAGTACAGTGACCCAGTCTCGGTTCACTGCAACCTCTGCCTCCCAGGTTCAAGTGATTCTTCTGCCTCAGCGTCCCAAGTAGCTGGGACTACAAACACATGCCACCACACCCGGCTAGTTTTTGTATTTTTTGTAGACACTGGGTTTCACCCTGTTGGCTAGGATTGTCTTGATCTCCTGACCTCATGATCCATCAGTCTCGGCCTCCCAAAGTGCTGGGATTACAGGTGTGAGCCACCATGCCTGGCCAATTTAGCAATTTTTTAAGGAATGTATTCAGTAAGTAGAGGGAGATCAACTGATGTTTTCAAGGTCAGACCTACAGGAAACTAGCTCATATTTACTTAGACCAGCATTGAAGAAGCAAAGAATCCTGCTAAGTAGGCTGTGAAGCTTTGTTTTTCAGATCTATGTTTTCTATCAATTCTTTATTTCGCCCTTGAGGTAAAAATAATCACCCATTTATCTTTGACTTTATTAAAGATATGAAGTTTCATTCAATTAGGGTATCTGTTTTATTCAACTAGGGTATCCAGTTTAAGAATTATAAAAAAAGAGTAGAATAGAATTATTGTAGAAGAATTTTCTAGAAAAGTTTGTGATAACAAAACCAGAAGCCAATAATGATCACAGGAAAACATTTCTCAAGGGATAATTTAATAACATTACTAAAAGTGTGGGAATCCACACACCACCTAAATGATTAGGAAAGAGGTTATTAGCTAAGCCATTGTCTGAAACCCACTGAATCACTGGTCCTTTTGAACAATGATTGGTCCTTTTTTTCTAAAGATGAGTTTTAAAATTTAAGAGAAGCACCAAGCAGCAGAGCAGGAGAGAAAAAGAACACAGATCTTGCATGGTTCAGATTTTTCATTATAGGTCCAGGAGTAAGGTAAGATACCAAATCTTTGCTTTTGTAATTTGAAGAACCAAAGTGAACCCTGAAGGATAGACTATCAAGTTCACCCTAAATACTTGATCAGGTCAGTGATGTGAGCCAGGGAAGGAAGTTTCACATCTGGAGGACAAGAGAAATATACTTAAACAGGCTATACCATAAGTAAATATCACAGTTTAGTTTTATAACCTTAGGAAAGCATTGACTCAGTTGTTTAGGTTTAGCATATTATTCTGTTACTAGCCTATTAAGTGGAAATTATCTGGTATTGTCAAATCTCTCTTGTAGTACTTTTCAACATAGACATTAAAATGTGTAATGATAAGGCCCTAGTTGATTAGCCATAGTCATAACTTCCCATGGTCCGAAGGGCCTGTTCCTTTCCTTGTAGGGCAGTACCAGGATGAGATTATCTTGCTCATTTACGCGTTCAAACACATCATATGTCTCCAAATGAGCCTTTTGGTCAAGCCAAAAAAACAAGCAAACAATTTTGGTTTTGGCTTGTCTGAGAGAAAATAACAAGTTGTGCTGTAAAAATTTACAAACATAACTTTTTATATTTTAAATTCTAAAATATAAGTAAATACTATAGAATTCACCCAACTTTTCCTTTGATTGAACAATACTAATTATTTTGTCAGGAATTTTAAGTAAAAAGTCTTTATAAAGCCAAGTTCACAACTTATTTTCTAGATATATCATATGAAAATGAAAATTATAATTCTTCTTGGATTCTTGGGAGCGACACTGTCAGCCCCAGTAAGTGATTTTATGGTACTACTGATATAATTTTGTTAAGCCTTCAACAATCCTTCTTTTTATTATTTCTGATGTTATTTTTTATTTTATTTTTAGCTTATCCCACAGCAACTTATGTCCGCCAGCAACAGCAATGAGGTTAGTTTAAATAATTAAAACAATCTCTTCCACGTTTTTAATGGAAACCAAGTGGGAAAAGATAAAAGTATTCGTTTGATTGATACTGTGTTCCTCTCCACTAGCTGTTATCTATATCCAAGCACATTTCTAATGCTTATGTTTGCTTGTATAACAGGTTACCTCTAAAATATTCTTCTGCTTCTTTTTTGTGACTGTTAATTCTTCAAAGGCAGATACAATCTTGTCTATATCTTTTTGCTCTAATAACACCTCATATAGGTGTGTAAAGGTGTTTAAAAGCACGAAATGAGTAAACCACTGGAATAAGCTAATGTTGTGCAATCTCATACCCAACAAGGGAGAGGCTGTTAAATCCCAACCTTGTTTTAAATTCTAACTTTGAATCACTGTAATTAAATGTAAGCCTAGTGAGAAAATGTCTCACTTCTAACAAGAAATTGAGCAACCAGCTGTGACTTGTGCAATCTTTGTAGTCAACAATGTTCTTACTCATTTTAATCCATAGTAATCTTGATTTCATATTATTTTTCTTTTCTAGTTACTTCTTAATCTTAATAATGGTCGACTTTTGCCACTACAACTTCAGGTACCTCCATTTCAATAATTACTTAAGGGGAACATGTTTCTATTGCTCATTTCAAATGTTACTTTGTATAAAACAAAATGTTTCTTGATCTTATTTCTGAAATTTTAATTTTTAATATTATAAATTTGTCTCATATATTCTAGTGACTATTTGAAGATTAAAGTGAAAACTGTAATTTGATTAACATTTATTTGTTGAGAACTTGGTATATGTCAGGCACTAATTCTGACAACTCTTAGATAGTTAAAATTAATTATTTTACACAAAGTCATGCCCAGCTAACCAGTAACAGCAGGTTGAGGGGGGTGGTTTAGGGGAAGGTAAAGGAAAATACACAAGGTTTAAAACCAGTCTGGCATATGCAGATGTTGCACTCTTTTATCAACCTTACCCTGGCCCATATTTCTCATGACTATCAGGAATTTAGCATTTGCTTCATATTATTTGCTTTGTTCAAAATGAATCAAGATCTTGTCCTTTTTTATATTGCAACACTGGAAATACAAAAATTGTTTCTATTTTGTCTCTTTCTTGCTCAAGACTGACTTTTAAATTCTTTTTGGCATGAAGGGAAAATGCTTTCTTTCCTTTGTGTCTTTTTAGGGCCCACTTAATTCATGGATTCCACCTTTCTCTGGAATTCTACAACAGCGGCAGCAGGGTCAAATTCCAGGACTCTCCCAATTCTCTTTATCAGCACTAGACCGGTTTGCTGGACTGTTCCCAAATCAGTTACCCTTACCAGGACAGGTCAGTCTTGCCCAAGGAGCCCAGGCAGGCCAAGCCGACCCCTCACAGCTTCAAACAACGCCTCAGACACAACCAGGCCCCAGTCACGTAAGTCAGGCCTCTTTCCTTTTGTTCTGAGGAGAGAGAACTGCATATTGAATTTGACAATGAATATGAATCAGCTTTGAAATAGACAGGGGGTTTTGAATAATATTTGTTTCTCATAATATGTTTCTACCATCACTGTACGCTTTCTTTTATTTTCTGATTTCTAACAAAAAAATATTTAAATCAGCTACTCTAGGATACAACCACAAACCAAGAAACTTAAACACAAGTCTAGGATAAGATAGAAAAACTTCACTGCATAAAAAGCAGTTTGTGTTAAACTGACAGCACATATAATAGATGACTTTTTGTCGTGGAAGCTTGCTAACACTACCAAAAGTCATGTTTATATGACTAGCTCTCTGAAAAGTGACTCAGGGATTTTAAATAACAAAGTCAAGCATACATTTTTATGTAATTTTTTTTTTGCACGTGATGTCCTATGTATTCTCTTTCAAAATGCCTCAAGAGCAAGGATAGGTAAATGGATATAACACTGCTCATAGAGAGGGCTACATACATTGTCCAGGATGCTTTCTGTTTCTAGCTCTGACTCCTATAGCAGAGCTATAAAAAACGGTGTAATGATATCACTGTCTAGATAACATCATTACTGGGCTCCTATCAGTTTGTTGATGTTGGGCTCACTTAACAACTCCTTAAGAACAGGCAGCTAAAGAGAGTCTCCAGGACCTCTGAATTTCCAAGGGCATCACTATGTTGAGAGTAAAAGAGCCCAATACGCCCCCAGGTCATGTCCTCTCTGCATCCAAAGTGCTGGAAGTTGTGAAAAACTCAAGAGAAGTTGGGTTGACTCTATCCAACTTTAAATTTTGCTTCAGAAGGAGATGCACTAAGCTGATAATATAGTATGTGATTAACAGATAAGAAACACTTGTTCATATTATTTAGCTGTTATGAAATTCTGCTCAAAACATTTGAAGCTTGTTGTACATTTCCAATTTGAATCCATGTTACAATCAAATGGTAATTATTTCCATTAAATAAGAGAATCTTTTAAAAATGAATGCAAGCTAATATAATCATCATATTAATTTGAAAAACCCTATCAATATTAAGATTATTAATTTTATAATATTCTCAATTCAAAGAAATAGGAATATAAATAAATTATATTATTATTCAGCAGAATATTGGCATTTTCATAAAGCTCTACTGTAATTATACCTGTATGATTTTGTCCCACTTCCACTCCCATTGCAAAACAAAAGTTACTTCTAGACATTATCTCATTCTGTGACATAAGCATTTACAGAATTAGACATATAACTAGAATTACTTCATCTTAAGAATCAGGAAACCTACTCTTAATGAGATAAAATTTCCAATCCCATTGAAAGTAAATGACTGTGTTGGAATATAATTCTCCACCCCTTCTGTCTCCTTCTTTAACCACTAAATCAGTCGCTCTCCACCCTGGCTTTACATTAGAATCTCTGGTGGTGATTTTGAAAATTACAAATGTCTGAACCCTACCCCAGTGCTAATGAATCAATACCCCATGAATAGATGCTAAATTTGGTCATTTTCTAAAGTGCTCAAATGTGATTCTGATTCTTAGTCAGGATTAAGAATGCTTGTCCAAAATATAATCCTTCTGAAACCATAGTTTTTTTTTAACTCTCATGTCTGATATAGTCTCTTACTTTATGCAAAGAAACAAAACAGCATACAAAAATCAAAGTAGCTACTAAGATTCTCATTTTCTATAAACACATACATATATAAACACATAGAGACATATAAGTAGAAGGCAATGATAATATAAAGGAAAGCCACGTGGTAATGTAGGTGGTAAAGTTGTAAGTGATTTTATTTGTTACTTGTCTACGTCTTGATTTGCCAAATATTCTAAAATACATATGATTATTTTAATAAAGTAGCAATTCTTAAAGGCAATACATTCATGGCATTTCATTCATTATGGCAGAGCTTCTAATACCACAACCTGCAGAATGATGATTGTAAAATCATAAGGAAAAAGCTACACAGGCTATCTTTCACTACGTATTTGCAAAGTAATTTGTATATAAAGTTTCCCGGATGCCCTTTGGAAAGAAAAAAGGGGTCTTTTGCTTAGGTCAACCCACTATTTTCTAAATGTGTTGACCAAGCAACCTTAAAAACAAAGTCCAGTATTAACCGGGATGCAAGTTGTTTCCAACATTTGGGAAGAGATGCTTCATCTATTTTCTTTGTAGTTAATCATATAAAGCTGCTAGACATAAAACAGCTTTTAAATAAAATGACATTAGAAGATAAAAAGTGTGTTCTATGCTGATTTAATGGAATCTCTTGTATCTTTCCCTTTTACAAGTAGATGTTTCAATACTATCCAGTTTACATGCTCCTACCCTGGGAACAACCTCAGCAAACAGTTCCAAGATCACTTCAACAAACAGGACAGCAGCAGTTTGAAGAGCAGGTACTGCAAATGTTTTAATCTTACTAGTTCCACTTCAAAATAGAGAAAATGGGGTGTATTACCATAGAAAAATATTTCTGAATATATTTAATCCAAACACCCAACAGCATGAAATAGGTAGGCATAAGAGGGCAGATACAGTGCTCTCTGCTGTATATCCTTTGTGTAAACTTACTTGGTAATATTCCAAGGCTGGATTTTTAGCCAGTGAAGTCAGTAAGTGGACTTCAATAGAATCAAGGCCAAAATGCTGAGTAACCTTTAAAAGCAAAGTATTCTCACATTTAAAATTTACTAGCATCTACCTTTCCACATATGTGTGTGTGGTTACTAATTAAAAATAATAAATGGTAAAATATTAGCTACCTTGATAAAAGATCTTTGATCACTGTATCTTGAGATACAATCAGATGCCATTATATTAAATTTTATGAAACGGCAATACATTTTTAGAATTCTAATATAAATGCAGGTGGCTCATATATAATTAACATTCTCCATGTTAAAATGAAAATGTCTTTTTTAAGTTCAATCATAACCCTAAAACCTGACATTACAAATTACAGAAACTTAGAATTATGCTTTAAAAAACTGATAGCATTAATTGTAATTGTCATGTTGCTTTAAAGGGAAAGAGTTTTATCCTAGAAATGATATGGTTATAAAGGATTCTTGCTAATTTAACAATAAATAATTTTTACTTACTGGAATGTATAAACTTTAAAAAATGCTTTTAATTAATATAAAAAGATATATGTTTAAGTAATCATTTATTGCAAACTTATGACAAGGATAATCACAGAAAACATAATAAAGATTTTTAAAAATCTGACAGATTCCATTCTATGCCCAATTTGGATACATACCACAACAAGCAGAGCCTGTAAGTAAATGCATATTTTTCATTAAAAAATCTTTTAAAACTACTTGATTCATTGTCTACTAAATCTGTAAATGCCCTTCAGTCAAAGGTGACCAGGAGAGCATCTCTAATTAAACAAAACTGGATGTATCCACTCATTACAAGGAGGAGAACACACACGTGGGGAGCTTTGGGTGTCTTAATAGTAAAGTATTAGAATGACTTCTCACAAGATTTGGGCTTGTTTTAGGTAATTTGGGGAAGATTTCAAAGAAGTGGTGGTTCACTCTGGAGTGATCTAAAAGTAGGGTAGTTCTATAATTATCTTTAGTTCTCAAAAAGTAGGGTAGCTCTATGAGTTTCTTAAAAGTTCATGTCCCTAAGGCAAGGATAAGGGAGCAAGGTGAAAGCTTTAATGGGTAAAGAAGCATCAGTTGCTCATACTAACCAAGATGTGAGGACGCCAGGTATTTTTGTGCCTTGTATGGTGACCTTACTTTAGACAATATTTTGAAGTTGTCTTGGTTTTTTTTCTATCTCTGTCTGATATTGGTGTTCTGTAGAATTGTTTGTGCTCAACAGGTGAAGAGTTGGTCCTAGTAGAGAATGTTAGAAAGCAGCACTCCCAGAATAAAAGCAGAATTGAGCTGTCAATCCAGTTCTCTAATAGCAGGAAATAAACTATTATTTCTGTTTTTAACAAAATAATTTAAGAAGTTTGGGAGTCTTTTACTACTCTGGGTGGCCAAAGAGCATATTTTCATAGATCACTAATTCAGACTTTTTAAAACATTTTATGTTTTTAGGGTATACCAGGAGGACGGCAGCAACTAGCTTTTGATCCCCAATTAGGCACAGCTCCTGAAATTGCTGTGATGGTAAGATTCCTTACAACATTTTGCAGCTACTGGAAATCAACAATTGACAACTTACTGCACTAATGTTCATTTTAATATCAACTCTATTATAATTCCATCAATATTATTGCCTCTTCCTCTTACAGTATTTTGCCAGTGAAGATTCAGTTTACTCTTACACAGTTCATCAGTATGTTTGATTATGCTATGGCAGGTACTTTTCACACACCTTTATTTAAAAGCAGATATTAAGAGACAGTTAGGTTTGCTGGTATATATTCATGATCTTTTTTATAGTTTATGATCTAAAATAACTAATAATAGCAACTTACTTTTTGAATATAATGTTAGTTTTGCATCTCAGTCCTTTTGCTTTACATTCTTTCCAATTTTAGCCTTCTCGTTGAACCTATGACAACTTTGTTTTCATTCTCATTCTCTATAGCCAACAGGAGAAAAGATAGAATATTTACAAAAAGAAGTAATAAACTTTAGACATGACAATGCAGGAGTTTTCATGTCCTCAACTTCACCAAAACCCAGAACAACCAATGTTTTCACTTCTGCTATAGACCTAACTATTACACCAGAGCTCCCAGAAGAGAAGGTAGAGTCATGAAAATTTCATTTTATGTAAGAAATTATTGTCTAATGAAAAAATACAAAGATAAATTAGTGCTTTAATTTATAAGACTTAGTCATGAAATTAAAAAGATAACTAAAGTAAAATATGTGGTATTAACTCTGAATAAAATGACCAATAATTGTTTTGACAATTAATTAGAATTTAATTTCAGTTTAATTAGAGCTTCTTATGAATGTCCTTTTCTCCCTAGGGCAAGACTGTTAGCCTAAGGGAGCCATAAGAAGTTGCCCTAATCATTCAAAGTTTTTGGTAGGTATTTGCCAAAGTCATGCATTAGGTGCCATGACAATTTCCATCTAAGAAGACAAAAGAAAAAGTTGTCAGAGAAGCTAATGGAGTTCTTAACAAAGTAGTTAAAAAAACAAGTTAGCTATATATGCACCTACAAATTAATAGTAATTATGGACTTCAGCAATTTTTTAAAACAAAATTAAGTTTTGAGAATCATGTCTTCCTATACTATAAGCTTGGAATACTCTCTGACACCACAAATACTAAATATGCCAGGTTCAATATAAAAGACATTCTATTGACACTTAATGCAGAATCATTTCTCCCAAATCATCATTTCATTTGCAAGCTAAACATTATAATAATTCCAATATATCTTTATTAGCTTGAAATAAAATAAAAATCTCAAAATGATAAAGAAATTGTATGATCAGAAGATAATTTCAAATTCTGTGACTTTTGTATCAGACAAAATCTTGACTAATTACCTGTTTTAATCTGCTTGGTTGGCTATGAGGCGGCAATAGGAGTTTGACAGAAGGGCTGGCTGGGAACAGCACCAAAAAGTTAAAACATACACTAAAAAGCAAACAATTTAACCTGAAGGGGAAACTAAAAGACAAAGTTTTTGAAATCTCCCTGCTACCTATGAGTCTGTTTCGATCTCTCCTTTCATAAAAATGAACACTCAGTATTCTTCAGATGAAAACGATTTACAAAAATACAAGTGAGTGAATAGTAATAACACCTCTTAAGGAAAACCTCCTCATTAATGTACTATATTGTACAAGGTGAATCAAGTTATTCAGTAAGAAATACTAAATAAATTTCAGTATTTTTATGATCTTTTTTCTATCTATATGAATGCCAGTGAAAGAACAGCTTTCTATTTCTTTAATAACCAATTTGTATGGTATTATAATATATAATGCAAAGAAGTCTAATGGTATTAAAATGGTTTTCTATTATATTTTTCAGGGAAACGATGTGGCCGTGCCTTGGATATAATTTTAGGCTATTAGCTTCCTCAATGCTAGTATTAGTTCTTTGGAATATCCAAAATATCTTGACTCTTCTAACTTTGTTTTTACTTATAAATGTTATCAAACTCTTTAAATATGTCACAGAAAATAATACAATCATGTAATGAGTCTTTTATATGAAATTGTATGTCTGTTCAAATATCCTATCATTGTATAATCTGAAATATAATAACAATGAGAATAAAGCTAGTATCATTAAATCAATTGAATAATTGCATTACTAAATGATACTTCTGGAAAATGAAAGTATCCATGAAAATAGGTGTACTGTCATTGGATGTATGATGAGTGTTGTGTTTGGAACTGATGAAGTAAAATATGTATCTAGATTTGACATATCATTCTTTATTTCCCTAAGGCCCATTCATTCAGCTTCCTTCTGAGACATTCTCATGAAAATCAAAATCATCTGGTGGCAGATATCATAAATTGCTTATTCCTAATATGACACAGTTACATAGCGAGGTGGCTGTCCTTACTCAAAAGGTAGGAAAGTGTGTGCTTGTTTAGGGGAGGCAGTATCCTGTAAGGTGTAGATTTTGGGTTTCATCAGATCTGGCTTTCAACCTAGCTTTGAACCTTCAGCAAGTCACTTCACCTGCATGAGTGTCACCTTTCTTAGGTATAAATTGAAGATAACAATACCTTTTACAATTTTTGAAAAAACTACATGAACTAACACATGAAGATGCCTGGCTCACAAAAATGTTAATTTTTTTCCTTTCACGTGTGAATATGAATGTACTTGTATGTTTACCTTATTTTTTCAGCTTTAGATGATCAGCTGAAATTTTTAGAAAATAGGAAAATTGGTATTCAATGTACTATAGATGTGTGTGAGTAGGTATATGTAAAAGGAAAAATGAATTAGTGAATGAATAAATGAATACATGATTATGCAGTAATTTATTTCCAATAAATTTGATGAATATTCTAGGCTTTAAAGTAGATTACATTTCCTAGAATCTTACCTGTTTCAGCATTTAGTAATATTATGACCCTAGAATCTACTAGCTTTTTGGAAGAGTAACCTGATCCTCATCAATTCTATTTTCATTTTACTCTGTATCCTTTTTCTCTAAATTTATGTACTGAACTAATGTAATTCTGGGTAATTGACTGATACCTTAATATTAGAAATGATGGAGAGATCCGAACAAAAATGTGTCTGGGAAAAAAAAATCAGGTATTCTGAAGCTATGAACCTTGTTCCCCAAATTCCAATAGTTTACAGGATCAAGGAAAAAATTACATCAGGTAATTCGTAATAAACTCTTAGAATAAATCCTGGAACATAGTGAGTACTTAGCTTTTGCCTTTAATGAGAAGGATAAAAGGAGTGACCAAAGACTATGGAGGAAATATAAGTGCAACATAATTATTCTGTTAAAAAGTGAACAGTGGAGAACTCTGAAAAAAACCATAAAACTAAGTAGCAAGTTATAAGCAACTCAAAATTTAGTGACATGAGAGGATACAATAATAAATACTTTGAAAAAGATGCTGTGATAGTTGATTTTATGTGTCTACTTGACTTGGCTAAAGGATGATCAGACAGCTGGTAAAACATTATTTTGGGGTCGGGCACGGTGGCTCACGCCTGTAATCCCAGAACTTTGGGAGGCCAAGGTGGGTGGATCACGAGGTCAAGAGATCAAGACCATCCTGGTCAACATGGTGAAACCCCGTCTCTACTAAAAACACAAAAAAATTAGCTGGGCATGGTGGCTCGTGCCTGTGATCCCAGCTACTCAGGAAGCTGAGGCAGGAGAATTGCCCGAACTCAGGAGGCGGAGGCTGCGGTGAGCGGAGATCACTCCAGCCTGGGTAACAAGAGCTAAACTCCGTCTTCAAAAAAAAAAACCATTATTTTGGTTTGTCTGTGAGGATGTTTCTGGAAGATAGCACTTCACCCTGAGAAAAGAAGATCATCTTCATCAATGTGGGTGGGAATCATTCTTCATCAATGTGGTTGGGAATCATCTAATCCACTGTGGACGTGAATAGAAGAAAAAGGTAGAGAAAAGGCAAATTTGCTCTCTCTGCTTGAGCTGGGACATCCATCTTCTGCCTCACATGTTGTAGCTCCTGGTCTCAGGATCAGGACCTAGAATTTACTTTGGATTTGGACTGGAGAACAATTTCACTGGTTTTCCTGGGCCTCCAGCTTGCATATGGCAGATCCTGGGACTTCTCAGCCTCCATAAACATATGTACAAATCTTTCATAGTAGATTTCTTTCTACATATCCACATAAAAGCATACCTCGGTGATATTGTGGGTTTGGTTTCAGAACACTGCAAAGTGAATATCACAATAAAGCAAATTATATGAATTTGTTGGCTTCCCAATGCCTATAAAGGTTGTGTTTATACTATATTATAGTCTATTAAGTATGAAATAGCATTATGTGTAAAAACACAATGCATATTCCTTAACTAAAATACTTTATTACTAGCAATGCTAATGAAGTGAGCACTTACTTGACCAGGGTTGCCACAAACTTTCAATACGTAAAAAGCACAAAATCTGGAGCCAGGCATTGCTGTTTGTACCCATAATGACAGCAACTCAGGAGAATGAGGCAGAAGGATTGCTTGAGGCCAGGATTTCAAGACCAGCCTGGGCCACAGATAGGGTGCAGATCCTATTTCTGAGGAATTTTGTTTAAAATGTCATAACTACTTCCCAAAGGCCCTACCTAATACCATTACACTGATGATTTGGTTTTAACATAAAAATTTGGAGAAAAATGAGCAGACTGAAGTGAATATAATGTTACAAATACTCACTTAGACATTCTTTGCTTTCCAGTTGTATGTTTTGGTGGTTCCTTTCCATTGGCATAAAATTTGCTTCATCTCAACCATACAAACACTTTTGCATCATATACATCCCTGTCACCACTGTGTGTGCTGAATATTAAACAGTGAAACACAGACCAGTAAAGCAAAGCTTTCTAAAGAGTAAGGGCAAGATCCATAGGCGCACAGAAAATGAGTACCTTACAGAGACATGATAGTGGATATGCTGGTGTTTTACATACGGTACATCATCACTTAACATCATTGATAGGTTTTGGAAATGTGCAACTTTAAGTATAAAAGTATCTTTTATTCCATAGAAACTTAGCATTTGTTTGTGTCTATTAGCCTGTGGCTAAACTGGTTTCATTATATGGTATATCATTATGATCAAAGTCAGTTTTTATGAACCTAATGATTACATTAAGTGATCACTTACTATGTATGTATACATATATTAGAGATATCTGTATATATTTGTGGCATGGTGGCTACTTTCTGTAATTCTAGCATTCTGGGAAGCTAAGGCAAAAGGATTACTTGAGCCCAAGCACTTAAGACCAGTGTGGGCAACAGAGTAAGATCTTGTCTCTGCAAAACAAAACAATTATGTATAAACACATTATATATATATGTTACTTGGCATAAAAATAATGACTATATGTGTGTGTGTGACATATATGTGTATAGTGTCTCACAAGGTGAAGCACTGTGTAAATAAATACATACAATGCTGAATAAGTACTTTCTAATAATTTATATTACATCGTAAGTGTTAACAATTGGGAGAAATAAAAATAATGATAGTTGTGATAATTTTTACTACAGAACAGCACTGATGATGCCTAAACGTTTTTTTCAGATATACAAACATATTTCCTCTTTACTACTACGA